TTATTAAAAAGAAAAGGAAATGAGATCACATATGGTTATATTTTCCCCTTATAAAATTAGGAAATTGAAAATGAGAATAATTAGAACTGGCAAAGATTTGATGAAGTAGTCAATATTATGCCCATTTAATGGAAATATAAAGAGCCTTTTAAAGAATAATTTGGCCATATATATTTAAAGCATTCATACTTTCAATTTAGTATTCTACTTCTATGACTTTTTCCAAAGAAGGAAATCCAAATCCAAATAGAGTTTTATTATATTCAAAGATATTCTTTTGGGTACCTTTCTAAAATCATGAAATTAGAAATTGTAAACACAGACAAACAAGTGAAAATACGGTACATCTTTATGATGAAATATAATATTGCCCTGACTATTGACACAAAAAAGAAAGACATGCAACCCTGCTATGATAAGTTCTTAAAAAGTAAACCTGAATTTTATCAAGCTTCTAACAACCAGTTTACAGGAAATACAAGGGACAGAGAAGCATGGTAAATGTCACCAGGGTGGGTACAGTCAGCAAAATCCAAAGTCTAGGAAGGTTTACAAAATAAGTTACATAGTTTATTCAACAAATAATTTATAAGAAAAAAAATAAACAGAAGTAGGGGAATCCACAGGTAAAAGAAACATCAGCCAACTTGTAAGAATTTTACTCGGTTTGATTCAAATAAACTGAATGCATTTAAGAGGTAATTGGACAAATTTGAAAACTGTATCTGATGATATTAAAGAATTATTAATGTTTTAGTTTTGATGGTGCTTTTGTAACTGACATATACAGCAATTTATAGTATGTGATGCCCAGAATTTGTTAGGTGGGATAGTGTTGAGGGGCTTTAAAAGGAAGCAAGATTGGCCATGTATTGTTTTTATTTTTCATTTTATCTTTTTTTAATCTATTGATAATTATTGAGCCAGACTATGGATACATGGGGGCTTCATTTTCCTATTCTCTCTCTTTTTTTTTTTTTTTTAAGATTTTATTTATTTATTCATCAGAGTCAGAGAGGCAGAGACACAGGCAGATGGAGAAGCAGGCTCCATGCAGGCAGCCTGATGTGGGACTAGATCCCGGGTCTCCAGAATCACGCCCTGGGCTGAAGGTGGCGCTAAACCGCTGTGCTACCTGGGCTGCCCTTTCTCTGCTTTATGTATTGTTTGAAAATACCCATAATAAAAAGTTGAAAAACAATGAACTTGAATAAAGAAATTTTTAGATTATTTTAAGTGAAAAAGAGCTGATATGTAGATGAATTTCAGCTACAGTTTTAAATGCAGAGGGGAAAAAAGAACTCAAGGAAAAAATAAAATACTATCAGTGCCTTCTTTTAGGTAGGGAGATTATACGTGACTTTTTATAGTAAAGTTATATGTAAATTTAGATGCTTGCCTTTTTTTTTTACAGTATGCACTTTTTAATTTTGTTCATTTTGTTGAATAGTTCAAAAGTCAAATGGTACAAGAAGATAAACAGTGAAAGGAGGCAAGCCCTTCATTTCTGAATCACCCAATTACTCTTACTCTCAGAAGTAACCAGTGTATTTATTTCTTGTGTATCCTTCTAGAAGATGTGTATTTGTATTCTTTATTTAAAAATGCAAATTGAGGGACGCCTGACTAACCGTGGATGGCTCAGCAGTTGAGTGTCTGCCTTTGGCTCAGGGTGTGATCCTGGAGTCCTGTGATCAAGTTCTACATCAGGCTCCCTGCATGGAGCCTGCTTCTCCCTCTTCCTATGTCTCTGCCTCTCTCTCTGTCTCTCATGAATAAATAAATAAAATCTTTTTTTAAAATGCAAATTGTAACACTATTTACTGTTCTATTCCATTTAACAATGTACTCTTGGGACACTTGTTCAGTGTCTGCCTTTGGCTCGGGTCATGATCCCTGGGTCCTGGGATCAATGCTTGCATCACGCTCCATGCTCAGTGGGGAGTCTGCTTCTCCCTCTGCCTATGTCTCTGCCTCTCTCTCTCTCTGTGTCTCTCATGAATAAATTAAATCTTTAAAAAAAAAAACAATGTAACATGGGGATTGAGCCATATTTATACAGCAAACTTGCTTCCTCATTCTTTCACAGTGTCATAACTAATGCCTTTGGATAGACATACAGGTTTCCCACTTCAGACAGCACTGAAATGATTAACCCTGTGTGAAAGTCCTTTCACACATCTCTAAGTTTTTACCCGAAGAATTCCTAGTTGTGGAATTGCTGAGTCAGACTATAAGTATATTTGTAATTTTGATAGTTTTCACATTGCTGTCTGCAGAGTGTGTAGGCACCATATTGTAAACACTGATAGGTTTTATTTGCGTTACTTTTGGGATACATGTGATTAAGGATGTTTTCAGTTGTTTAAGAGCTATTTTCACTTCTTTTATGAACACTCTGTTTATAAACTTTGCCTCTTTTCCAACTGAGTTCTCGGTACTTTTTAAATAATTCATAGGGGTACTTTAGCATTTTGGAAATTACCCTCTTGTCTGTAATATAAATTACCAGAATTACCCCCAATTTATATGTCTTTTAATTTTGAATGTGCTTGGATTTTTGTTTTGCCATGTAATTTTCAAAAAATTTATTATCAAATTGATTTAACTTTTCTTATAGATTTCATGTACTTATGTTGTCCTTGAGATCATTTTAAAAATCATTCCTGGGATCCCTGGGTGGCGCAGCGGTTTGGCGCCTGCCTTTGGCCCGGGGCGCGATCCTGGAGACCCAGGATTGGATCCCACGTCGGGCTCCCGGTGCATGGAGCCTGCTTCTCCCTCTGCCTGTGTCTCTGCCTCTCTCTCTCATTCTGCATGACTATCATAAATAAATAAAAATTAAAAAAAAATCATTCCTGATATTTTACACTTAAATACTATTCAGTATGAGACTCAGGTTCAACTTAATTTGGTTTCCAAGCAGCTACCCAATGTCCCACAGCATTTATCAGTTCATCTTTTCCCCACTGATTGAAAATGTCATCTTTATTGTATCTAGATATCCGTGTGTGTGTGTGTGTGTGTGTGTGTGTGTGTTTCTAGTCTTTGCATTCTATTCTAGTCCATGAATTCATCTATTAACATTCTAGTACTTTAGTTTTAATTATTATAGCTTATACTATATATTAAATCCCTTAAGGCTGGTCCTTCCTCATTATTAGATTTTTCCTGGCTCTTCTGATTCTTTATTTTTCAATATTAAGTCTTAGAAATTGCTTATCTAATTCAGTGAAAAATTATTTTGACATTTCTATTAGTATGGACTTAAATATTAATTTTAAGGAGAATTGATTTTTGATACCGTCATCACATCTTCTCATTCATGATCATGGTATGCCTTTCTTTGTGCTGGATTCTTTTGTTTCTCTTGGTAGCATGTACATGTTTTCTTTACTTAAGATATTGCCACATTTTTGTAAAGTTTATTTCTAAGATTTTTCTTTCTTATGGATGTTACAAATACTGTCTCCATTATGTTTTCTGATTATTGTTTGTATATATGAAGACTAATTGTATATATATGTGTATATATATATATATATATATTCATATATTCATTTTATGCCCACTCATCATCTTAAATTTCCTTAATGTTTTTCAGTTGATAATCTTGGGTTTTCCAGAATGTAACGGTTATGTATAATCATACCATTTACAGATACCATTTTTCTTTTTTTTTTCTTTTTTTTTTTAATTTATTTTTATTGGAGTTCAATTTGCCAACATATAGAATAACACCCAGTGCTCATCCGATAAAGTGCCCCCATCAGTGCCCGGCACCCAGTCACCCCACCCCACCCCCACCCTCCTCCCTTTCCACCACCCCTTGTTCGTTTCCCAGAGTTAGGAGTCTCTCATGCTCTGTCTCCCTCTGATATTTCCCACTCATTTTCTCTCCTTTCCCCTTTAGTCCCTTTCACTATTTTCTATATTCCCCAAATGAATGAGACTATATAATGTTTGTCCTTCTCCAATTGACTTATTTCACTCAGCATAATATCCTCCAGTTCCATCCACATCGAAGCAAATGGTGGGTATTTGTCGTTTCTAATGGCAGAGTAATATTCCATTGTATACGTAGACCACATCTTCTTTATCCATTCATCTTTTAATGGACACCGAGGCTCCTTCCAGTTTGGCTATTGTGGACATTGCTGCTAGAAACATCGGGGTACAGGTGTCCCGGCGTTTCACTGCATCTGTATCTTTGGAGTAAATCCCCAGCAGTGCAATTGGGTCGTAGGGCAGATCTATTTTTAACTCTTTGAGGACCCTCCACACAGTTTTCCAAGTGGCTGCACCAGTTCACATTCCCACCAACAGTGCAAGAGGGTTCCGCTTTCTCTACAACTCTGGAAAATGAACCAAGGGTGGTAGAAAGGGAGGTGGGTGGGGGGTGGGGGTGACTGGGTGCCGGGCACTGATGGGGGCACTTGATGGGATGAGCACTGGGTGTTATTCTATATGTTGGCAAATTGAACACCAATAAAAAATAAATTAAAAAAAACTTATTAAGTCAACACCCAAGAAAGATACCATTTTTCTAATACCACTACCTTTTCCTTCCAATGACCTTAATATATTTTTAATCAGAAAAATCATTTAAAAATATGAATTTTCAAGTAGTACATGTCCCTGATATTTAGCTCAGAATATTATCCTCTTATTAAGTATAATTGGCTTCTTGAAGCTGTACATACTCTGAACACCTAAGTAAACCTTGAAAGATTTTAATGTGGGATCCCTGGGTGGCTCAGTGGTTTGGAGCCTGTTTCTCCCTCTGCCTGGGTCTCTGCCTCTCTCTCTCTCTCTGTCTCTCATGAATAGATTAATAAAAATCTTTTAAAAATAAATAAATAAAGATTTTAATGTGACCTTAAAAAAATAGTATCTAAAAAGAGATGACTTGGATTGAAAATATTTTTATTAATGATATTTAATTACTGATATTCAAATACAATATTCAAATACTGAAAAATCATTTTATTTTTCTTCAGGAACAAATGGCTATTGCATGTGGATCTCGAGCTCATTTGGAAAAAGAATCAATTGCTCAGGTGAGGCTTTCACTAACTGGCATGGATCAGCAGATTATTTTTCTTTTCATACTTATTAGCAAAAAATAAGCTTTCATATTTAATCTCATAAAAATGAGTTTCCTTTCAAAGGAATTTTTTTATTATTGGAAAGTTTGTGAAAGATTAGCATGTTTAGGAATTGAGTTTTTGGGTTTTTTTAATAAGTATACAAAAAGTATGTAGACTTTACTTTGACTTCAGATGCAAACAGCTCTTTTTATTTATTTATTTATTTATTTATTTATTTATTTATTTATTTATTTATTTATTTATTTTTTAAGATAAAAGACAAGAGTCCCCATTCAGTTCTAATATAAAACAAACTTTTCTAAATGATGGATTTGTGAGCCATCGACTTGCCTTTAGTTTTTCTGACATTGGCATACTTCAAGTACTATATTTTGGGTTTCATTTAAAGTATTTTATCTTTTTTTTTTTAACTTTATTCCTTTTAGAAAAGTGCTGTACTTTAAAACTGAACAAATTGTGACTACCTTCACCATAGACCTTAAATTCTTCATTTTGTTATTTGTATATTAGGCTAGAAAAGCTGGAGTATATTGGGAGGAAAAAATATATTAAGGAATTATTATGTGTAATTTTTAAAAAATTATTTTATTTATATTTTCACTTAAATATCTGGGTCCAGTGTGTCAAGCCCAGTAATTGTCCATTATATTCTCTTTTTTTTTACATATATGTATATATATAACCACGCCCGATTGGCTTGTTTTATTGGAGAAGGGCATGTGGAGTTAACAACATGAGGACAATTGGGACCTGTGGTCGGGGCAGAACAGCATCCCCTCCCCATACATGCCCACTGCCCCAAATAAAAAATAACCAACTATGGGAGAGCAGCTGAGACAGTGACTGAAGTTGGGGAAGGGAACAGGGAACCCAGGGGACAGCGGAAGAGACCATGCCTGTGCTGGGAGTGCCCAGAGGCAGCGGCAGTGCGAGTAACATGAGTACGAGTCTCTGTGTCTTCCACATAGGTCTATATAAATATATAGAGAGAAGTTGTTCACTTTCCCCTGCTCTCCCCTCTGCTCTGTGGGGCTTGCCGCCGTCCCAGCTCCTCTTTCCACATGAGGGCGAAGAGAAGGGGATGATGAGCAAGTCATCACCGAATTGTAATCAGACCCACATCCATCAGCTTCTGGATCTTCTGTGTTATTACAGGATTTTTTTAAGTGTTCGCTGAGTGCCTGAGGGCCCTTCTGCATCTGCTCCAGGATAAGCCGCATGGCCGGGTCACTCATTATCTGCTGCACCTCAGGGTCAGCCATGGCCTGTCGCTTCATGTCTTCGGGGCTATTGTGGCGGTTGTACTGGGCCATCATACAGTGCTGGTAACTGTCTGCTGCTTCCTTACAGTTGGAGTCCAGATCTAACGCCTTCTGGTAGACATTCATGGCTTTTGTGTAGTCCTTCATTGCCTCCAGGGCAGCTGCTTTCCAAGTGTACCCCTTGATGAAGGCCGGCTCTAGCTGGATACATTCCTCACAGTCCTTGAGCGCCAGCTGAAACTCCAGGAGTTTGGTGTAGCAGGCAGCTCGATTGCTGTACAATTTGGCATCTTTTGGATTCCGTTTGATGGCTTCTGTATAATGCTTCATGGTCTGGGGATAGTCCCCTTTCTGAAAACATTCATTGCCTTTGTTCTTCTCCTTCAAGGCCAGATCTGGGTTTATGTAAGCCAGCCGCTCTTGCTCCTTCAGAATTTTCTCTGCCTGTTGGCATTTCTTGAGCACATCTGGGGTCCGGTGCTCTGCCAAAGACTTGTTATAGAAATGGATGGCAGCCTTGTACTTTTCTTCCTTGAAGTAGGAGTTGCCAATTCGAGCATAAGCTTTGGCAATCTGTGATAGTCCCAGTTTTCTCGCCCCACTTCGATGGCCTTCTCACAAAGCTCCCCGCATTTACAGTAGTTGCCCTTCTCGAAGTACATGGCTACTTGATTGGTCATGTAAGTCATTTTGGTGGGGTCCAGGTCCTTGGCTCTGTCATAGTGCTTCAAGGCTGTGTCAAAGTCTTTCTTCTTGTAGGCTTCGTTCCCTAGCTCTTTCTCTTTCAGCGCCTGCTTCTTATTCTCTGGAAGATCTTCTTCCATTGGCTCTGGCTTGGTGTCCTTCCTGGGAGGATGAGGTGGGGGAGGTGTTCCAACTTCCTCCTCCTCATCCATACTGCCCAGATCCACACCCAGCAGGACGCTCAGAGTAGTCTAGTCATAATCCGGGGATCTTGCAGTTTCATGCCCAAGTCAGATGGCTTGTTTCGTAGTTGCTCTATCAGCTCCTGGTAGGTAGGAGCAGCGAGCAGTGTCCTTGTCCTGCGATCACTCTCCAGTTTCTGTTACAGATTGGGCATGTTGAAAGGGTTCATGAATTTCCATTCTGCCAACCGAGCCTCCATATTCTATAAGCCCTCTTTGAGCTGAGGATTATTTGCTTCATGTTTTAAACCCTCTTCGTAGATTTGCTTGGCTTCTTCAAATCGGTTTAAGAACTCAAGGGCTGCAGCCTTCCTCGAATAACCGTTGCCCCAGTTGGGCCTTAAGTCCACTGTTTTGCAGCCATCCTCATAAGCCTTCTGGTAGTCCCCTTTCTTGGTGTATGCTGCGGAGTGATTGCTACAGAGCGCATGGTTTTGGGGATCTAAGGATCTAACTTAATGGCCTCAGAGTAGCACTGCAGTGCGTCATCATTGTTGCCCACACTCAAGGCCTTAATGCCCTTCTCTTTCAGCTCATTTACTTGCTCCATAGCCCATCCTGGAACCCCGTTGAATCGACTCCGTCCGCTACGCCTTCCCAACCTGTCCATTATATTCTTAATAGTTCATCTACTAGAGTGGTCAAATAGATAAAAAAAAAAAAAAAAAATAAGGCAGTATTTTTTAATGCAAGGTCAAAATTACCTGGGGAGTTTTGTTTAGTTTTAACATGCATATTTCTAGCCAGTCCTAGACACACTGAATCAGATTATAGGGATGAACCAGGAATCTATATTTTTAATAATTTCCCAGGCCAACCTTACGCATACCAGAGTTTGAGAACTAACAGAATAAAAGGCTAAATCTTTCCCTCGATTCTGAAATAAGATGCAAAGAAATTACAATTTTTTTTAACATACACTGATGGCAGGGTCATAGAACCTCTTAAGGATTATGCTCAAGTGTGGAAACCTAGACTCTTAAGAAATCAGTTATTTTAATGTCTTCTAATCTAATCCAGTGTTCTCTGCCTCTGTGGACTCTTAGTGATATTTGAAAAAGATAAGCTATTAACCATAGAGAATATCATATTCCTAGAAATTTAAAATTGAAAGATTGCTTAGAGATTAGCTAGTCCAACTTCATCAGTTTGCTGATAAATAAGGGATAAGGAAAGGAAAAGTATATGTCCAAGATGTTTACATTATTTTGTAATTATAAAATAATAAACTATAAAATACTAAATTTTAAAGATAGAAAATATAAATAGATATTTCTCCTGGATAGAATACCATGCAGCCAATAAAACAGATGACCATGGAGACTATATAATAACATTGGTGTTTTTTGTTGTTGTTGTTTTTTAAAGATAGATAGATAGATAGATTTATTTATTTATTTATTTATTTACTTATTTATTTATTATAGACATAGAGAGAGAGAGAGGTAGAGACACACACAGGAGGAGGGAGAAGCAGGCTCCATGCAGGGAGCCCGACGCAGGACCCGATCCCGGGACTCCAGGATCGTGCCCTGGGCCAAAGACAGGCGCTAAACCGCTGAGCCACCCAGGGATTCCCACATGGGGTTTTTTTAAACAAGTATCCAAAAAGTATGTAGACTTTACTTTGACTTAAGATGCAAACAGCTCTTATTTATTTATTTTTTAAGATACTAGAGTCCCCATTCAATTCTTAATATAAGACAAACTTTTCCAAATGATGCATTTGTGAACCATTCAACTTGCCGTTCAATACCCATTCGATACCCAAAATATTAAGTTGTATGAGAAAAAAAGAGTATGGGATTGTAAATACAGCATAATTATTTATGCAAAAATATCGGTAAGCAAAATCACTTAAGACTAGGCTGGTATTTAATGGTTTTATGTATAATTTTTTTTCTTTTAAAAAAACATAATAGGAAAAAAGATAATCTATTTGGTGAAGGAAAAAAAGATACGGCAAAATAGGAAGCAAGAGAGTAATTAGAAAGTTAATGAAATAATCTCTAGGCAAGAGATAGTTGGGACCTATATTTAGGTTCCAAATATTTATATGGCGGCAGTAGAAAGGAACCACGTTTTTGTTTTTGTTTTTAATGGTGTAAATTCTTTTCACTTAGAACTTCCATTAGTTGAAAACTCTGAATTTTTCCTAGTGATAGTAGTTAAATAAGGCTGTGCTGTGGTCTAAATTTCCTTTTTATCTAGTGCTGCTTTTAGCTAGACCTGAAGGGATCTATCCCAGGATCTTTGTATTTATCATTTATTTTGTCATCCGTTCATCTGTTCCTCCATCTCTAAAACTTAGTGATTGATTTAGAGCCTTTGAAGCCCACAGAATCAGGGCAGCCCCGGTGGCGCAGCAGTTTAGCACCGCCTGCAGCCCAGGGCATGATCCTGGAGACCCTGGATTGAGTCCCACGTCAGGCTCTCTGTATGATGCCTGCTTCTCCCTCTGCCTGTATCTCTGCCTCTCTCTCTCTCTCTCTTTCTGTCTCTATGAATAAATAAATAAAATCTTAAAAAAAAAATCTTGAAGCCCACAGAATCAGCTGCTACACTATAGAAAGGAAGGAAAACTGATCCACTGGTGAGAAACCAGCAGTTGTCTACTGCAGATGTTACACATGACTGCTCCCCTGTAGGTTTGTAGTTCAAGTAGTCCTGCTTACTGTCATAGAACCCTGCCTACCTTAGAAAAGGTCATCTCCACCTGCCACGTGTGGAAGAAAGTGCAGTGCAGTATGGTGTTCTCTTCCTGAACCACTCCAGGTTTCTCTTAAGGTGCTGTATACAATATAAACCTTTGCATGGTGATCAGTCTGCGGACAGTGAGGAAATTATAAAAGAATTAATTAATGAAGAGGGATCCCTGGGTGGCGCAGTGGTTTGGCGCCTGCCTTTGGCCCAGGGTGCGATCCTGGAGATCCGGGATCGAATCCCACGTCGGGCTTCTGGTGCATGGAGCCTGCTTCTCCCTCTGCCTGTGTCTCTGCCTCTCTCTCTCTGTGACTATCATAAATAAATAAAAAAAAAAAAATTAAAAAAAAAAGAATTAATTAATGAAGATAGTGAACAGCAACTTCAATAGCTTAATTGCATAGTTTTCAGATCTCTCTATCCTGAATACTTTCAGACATATTCTCTGTTAATCCTACCATCTGTTCTGCTCCCTTGGAAGACAAACATGATACAGCTTCTCTGGAGTCCTTACCATCTTCAGTGAATCTGTATGCCACATGTTCTTTATAACAGTTATACCAGGGATGTTTATATTGTCTGAGTATTCTTGCACTTACCATTTTTAAAGGATTCAGAATAGAATCCATTAGTGTTTATTTGATGTCTTCAGATTTTCTTTAAAGTCTTAGCTTAAGTTTTGGGACTTCTTTGAATTTATTTTAAGATAATGAAAGTACCAGTCAGCTTTAAATTTCACCTTAATTCCTTGTTTTCATTTTATCCACATTAGATTATTATTAATATTAAAGCAGTGAATTTTTTTCATATTTTTAAATGTCTACTTCAGAGGTTTATGTATTATTACTTTATGACTTTGTTAGTTTTATTGAACTAAGTCTGTTCCATAATATATTTTAGATGTCTTGTAAATTTTAAGATATTTTGCAAGGTTATAAAAAGTAAAGGGAGATCTTATTGTTTGTAGTTTACCTTGTTGTGCTTTCAATATGTCAGAAATCAAATAAGGTCCTCATGTGATCCCCATGTGTTTCTGATTTTTAAAAAATAACCATTATCCTAAAGCAAATAAAAATTTTCTATTAAGATCCAAGCAAAAATAGTCATAGAATATTTTCATCTGGTAACTAGTAAGCACATCTAAATCGCATTAAAAATCATTCAAGAATAGTTTATAGGCATTATTTTTTCTACCTTTTAATTTTAATTTTTCTATCTTTCGATTTCAATTTTTCCTTTCCTAAAGCATAAATGCTCTTTTGGAGGTTTAATCAGTCAACCAGCATTTATTGGAAATATTTTATATGGAAGGCACTGAGCAAGCTGTTGTGAGATTACCAAAGTATTTTAAGATGAGGTTTCTGCCCTATCTGCTTAGAGAGGTAAGACCTATTTATATCAGAACATAACTAATAATTCTAGGTGATAAATGAGAAGTGCTAGATCCTTCCAAAAAGTTTATTTTACAGTTTACAAACATTTTGCATAATTCTTCTCCAAAGTGATGATCAATTTATACTCCCACTAGTGAAGTATCCCCAACACTCCATATCCTAACAAAAGATTTAATGCTGTGATTCTTTATAGAGTTGGCCAGTTTGATTGGTATAATTTGGTGTCATGCTGTAGTTAAAATTTGGTTTTATTGGTCACTAATGAGAATGACCATTATTTAATATGTTTATAAGGCTACTTTTCTATGAGCTACTCTTAGGTTGTGTCCAATCTGCTTTAGGATTGTACTCGTTTTTATTTTTTATTTCTAAAGAATTCTAAAATTTTATTTTTCTAACATAGAAAGAATGGATACTACTCATTTTCAGTTACATGTACTGCAGATATCTTGTTTCACTGTGTTATTTGACTTTTTCCTCTTTGATATGAAATATAATAAAAACATAGAGAAATACACACATGCTTAAAAACTGTGTTTCACATACCTTACAGATAATTATTTTATTTTTCCTTCCCTTCCTGCCCTATATAATGCACAAGTGAAATTGTGGTCAGGAGGTTAAAGTGAGCTTTCAAGCCTTCTTCCTTTATTAAAAACATTTATTGAGTTCCTGTTACTGTCTGTGCCAAACAGTTGGCTAAAGGCTTAAATGTTATCTCATTTAATCTTTACAATAACATTGTGGGGTGGGCATTTTCTTTCCCATTTGATAGATGAGGAAAGTAGGCTGGAAAGAGTTGAAATAATTTGCTCAAGGTCACCCTGCTAATTATTATTACAGCCAAGATTCAAATATAGACCTGAGGTCTGCTCAGGTCAGTGGCTTTCTCTGCTTTGTTGTGTTATCACTGGTTAGTCATGGTTCCATTTGATAATGATAGAAAAAGCCATATAAATGAAGAATGATACTAAAGATTACAGTTATAAAAAGCAAGAACCAAAAGAAGGAAGGGAAATAATAAAATGAAATGGTAAATGTTCTACATAGACTCTTATTAGGTTCCCAATGTGCATATATAGTATATCATTCCATGGATCTATTACATTATAGAAAATTTTAAGAGATCCTTTTAATCCTAACTATGAGAGTCTTGAATACAATGATAATAATGATTCATTATTCTTAGTTTTAAAGTTTGCAATATTTAATAAATAATGGAATATTAAGTCATGCTACTACTCATAATAAAATTAATTACTAATAATATGAACACTCAGGTAGAATTAAAGACTACTTAAGTTGAATATCCAATATCTATTTCTAGTTAGAAAGACTGTTGTTTCAGACTCCTTCTTACTCTGACTTTTGTGATATTCTGCTGCACTTCTTTGATCAGTATTCTCATTAACTAGGCATAGAACTCTAGGTTTAAATCAGTGTTTCATTTTTCCAAGATGTTCTGACAGGTGTCACCTTTTTTTTTTTTTTTTTTAAGTATTTATTTGAGAAAAAGCAAGCACTGGAGCATGAGTGAGGTGGGGCAGGGGTGGGCAGAGAGGGAGAGGGAGAAGCAGGCTCCCTGCTGAATGGGAAGCCCAGCCTGGTTCTCCATCCCAGGACCCTGAGATCATGACTTGAGCCTCAGGCACCCACTTAATTGAGTCACTCAGGTGTCCCAACTCTCACTCTCACCTTTTTTGAAACTGAAATATATCCAAAGCACAAAATATGTAGACAAATGAGATGCTCTCCTAGTTCATAGCAGCCCAAAAGAGTTATGATAATCTCCTGGTAGATTAAAGCCCTGGCCTCTCACATGTACTGTGATTCTTCTTCTTGTCTGTTTCTTCTTGAATCTTCACGAAATGAATAGCTACTTCCCTGGTACCTCTGCCCTGTGGTAAGGAGTAGGCATCCTCAGAGTTTCTTCACTATACTTTGCCAGTGAAGCTAATGAAACAGTGGTGTCATATGTAAGGTCTACACAGCCAATTAAATATTAAAATGCAGTTGTCTGCAGCCAGGTGTTTTCAATTGTCCTTTATAGATTAATGGAAAAGTCTTTTATATTTTGGTTTTGTTTCAGCGTTCTTACTTCCGTACTCTGCTCATGTATGGGTTCCACTTTCTGGTATGGTTCCTTTGTGTCAAAGGAATCAGAGATACACAGTGTGGGTTCAAATTATTTACTCGAGAAGCAGCTTCACGGACGTTTTCATCTCTACACATTGAACGATGGTAAGTTCCTAACCAGATGTATTGGGCATGTTTTACACAGCAGCTATTCCAGGTCATAAGAAGCAGCCCTACATTCTCAGAAGGAACATTGAGGTTTAAACAAAATTGACACTTACAAATGTAAAGTTAATCTATGCCTTTATTCTTTTCCTGAGTTGGATCTTGTTTTCAAAATCTCAAACTAAACACATGGTATAAATTTAATTTATTCACTTTAATTGTGGACCGTATAGATCAAAAGGCCTGGAAACATCCTGTTTCCTTAGGCGTCTATATTTTCCTGTAAAGAAAAAAAAAAGCCCATAAATATCAAAACAGAAGAGGGCACCTATTTTCTTTTCATTCTTTCCTTTTTAGTAGTAAGTTCCTTCTCCTTCCTGTGACCAACCTCTGCATCCCCTTCTGCCTTCTTAGAACTTCACCCTGTTCACTTATTAGTCTTGTCTTTTCCTGTCAACCATCTTTTCTTGTCTTTCCCATCCGTTTTCAAAACAAGCTTAAATTTCTCTTACCATTAAAAACAAACACACAAAACCTCTCTCCATTGACCACCCCCTTAGTGCCCCTCCAGCTCCTCTTTTACAGCCAGCCTTTTATTGAAAGAGTGCCCTATGTCTTCTGTTTTCTCTCTTCCCACTCATGTCTCACCCCACCTCAATATGGATTTTTCCCCATCCCTCCATCTTAGCATCTAGGGACCTCCTGTCATGAAACCCAGAGGTCATGTGATATGACCACTTACTGTCTTAATTAACCCATCAGCAGTGTTCCATACTTCTGAGCACTCTCTCTTGACATATCCTGGTTCTCCGGCCTATCTTTATCCCAGACCTCGCCTCAGCTGCCTGTTTAGTGAATAACACTGATACACAGAAGCTTGAAACCTTGCAGTCAGCTCTGACATTCCCCAGTTCATGGCCCAGGCCTCTTGATTTTAGCTTTTGTGTCCCTTTGTTTCTCTTCATCTTCCCCATCAGCATCCAGCACACCCATCATTGCCTATGCTGTCCAAGGAGTCTTTTCAAAAATTAAAAGTGATCAATCAAATGCACCTCTTTTCTTAAAATCCTTCAGTGCCTTCCTGTGGCCTTGAGAGATGCTGCATAATCCAGCCTACCTGTGTCTCCACATGGGACCCTTCCCTTCCCAACTTCTTCAGCTCTTCCTTAGAGCAACCAATCCTCTCTTTCCAAACAAATCAGACACCCCTAATTGTGTGCTGTTGCAGTACCATAGCCCTTCTTCACAGGTCACACCTGTAGTTTTCTTTTTATTTGCAGAATTTTCTTTTTCTCTATTAAAACAAGCTCCAAAAGGACAAGAATCCCATCTGATTTTGCTTGCTAGTATATCCCACTATCTAACAGTACCTGGCACGTTACAGCTGCTCAATAAATATTGTTGGAAGAGTTAATACTTAGTATTACTCATTGGTTCTGTGGGAGTTGTGTTCATGGTGAGAATCTGAATAATTATTCCAATGGATGTTCACTTTTGTAGTTTCTATAACTTTTGTGCATCTGTTTGCAAAGATCTATTATCTCCCTAGAAATAGGTGTCATATGACCAACCCCCCCATAACTGTAAGAAACTGTCATTTCAGAATTAAAATTCTCATACATGGTTTTTTAATCTTTTTTTCATAGATTGAAAATTTTTAAGTAATGTATATTTGTTCTTCAAATTCAGATACATGTTTCTGTTATGTTAAAAAATAAAATAGATTGATAGTTAATTGACTCCAAAATCAGAGAATCTAATTGAAGAAGCCACTCTAGAAATAAAGCCCTCCCTCTACATTAGATATTTTTCAGTCAGCTTTTGGGTCCAGAACTAGATTCAAAGTACTAGGTTCTCTGTAGTTTGAAAGGAAGTTGGGGACTGAGGGTTGAGGACATTTAGGGTTAGAGTTGATAATTAGGGTTGATAACTTAAAAATCATGAAGTTTTTTTTTTTCTTTTTTTTTTTTAATTTTAAGATTTTATTTAATTATTTGACACAGAGAGAGCACACAAGCAGAGGGAGCAGTAGAGGGAGAGGGAGAAGCATACAACCCACTGAGCAGAGAGCCTGATGCTGAGCTTGATCCGAGGACCCCGAGATTATGACCTGACCCGAAGGCAGATGCTTATTGAGCCACCCCGGCTCCCCTCATAAAGCTTCTCTTGTCAGAATTGTTCTAGCAGTATAATGTCTGTGCTGTAGTATAATGGCCATTATAATATAATCTGAGACATTTATATAATTTTAAATATTCTAGTAGCCACATTAAAAAAAATAAAAAGAAACACATGAAATTTATTTTAATAGTGTACTTTAACACAATATAAAAATGTCATTTCAGGGCACCTGGGTGGCTCAGTTGGTTAAGCATCTGCCTTTGGCTGAGGTCATGATCTCAGGGTCCTGGGATCCAGCCCTGTGTTGGGCTCCCTGTTCAACGGAGATTCTCCCTCTCAGATTCTCTGTGTTTCCCTTTCCCTCTGCCCCTCCCCATTGCTAATGTGTGCCTGGGCACACTCTCTCTCAAATAAGTAAATAAAATCTTTATAGAAAAAAAAATGTCATTTTGGCATGCACTCAGTATGAAAAAATAATCTGGTATTTCACATATTTTTCTTTGTACTATGTCTTCAAACTAAAGTACACCTCCAATCAGACTAACCACATTTCAAATGCTCAGTAGCCACACTTGGCTACTGGTTACAGTATTGGATAGCATAATTCTAGAGTTTTGGGGTTTTTTTTAAGTTAAAGAACATGCTCATACTTTCTCTTTTAAATGTGATGTTTGTGTGCATGCCTTTTTAATATTTATTTGGATTTGATTAACAATGGTATTGACCTAATTTAAAATTTAGCCTCTTACATCTCTCTTTGGGGTCCAAATATGTTTATTTTGTGTAATGAGAACCACCAAATATGCATATATCAACTTGATTAGCAGTATACCCTTCACTATATTAATGTTTCATCACTGACTTTTATTCAAGCATCTTTGTCCTGGACTTAAAATCAAGAAAGACTAAAGAACAAATGTATTTCTTTCTTATGCAGCATAACTTATAGAAAGCAAGTTGCACATCTCTTCTTTATCTCCATGTGTCACCTCAGACTGGCATTTTAAGGATTTATCCCAAAAATTTATTGTCATTTTTCTCATAACTTTCAGGAAATTCAAATCAAGTAGAGTTGCTAGGTATTAGAAAACATTAAGCTACAGTAGAAAGACTGGGCAGGCATCTCTGATTCAAAATAACAGACCTGAGTATGGATTCTGGTAAACAATAAAGATATATGTAATGTTACATATAAGTGTATATATATAATCTCCATCCTCAGAACTGTATCCCATCTAAATTCTTTCCTTTTAATATTAAAGTATAATTGGATGAATTTATGGTAATTTTAAAAACGGATTCCTTGAAATGTACTTTCTCTGATGAATGCTTTTTTGTTTGTTTTTTTTATTGGAGTTCGATTTGCCAGCATGTAGCATAACACCCAGTGCTCGTCCCATCAAGTGCCCTGCTCAGTGCCCGTCACCCCGTCACCCCATCCCCCTGCCCACCTCCCCTTCCACTACCCCTTGCTCATTTCCCAGAGTTAGGAGTCTCTCATGTTCTGTCATCCTCACTGATATTTCCCACTCATTTTCTCTCCTTTCCCCTTTAATCCCTTTCACTGTTTTTTATATTCCCCGAATGAATTAAACCCTACAATGTTTGTCCTTCTCCGATTGACTTACTTCACTCAGCTTAATACCCTCCAGTTCCATCCACATCGAAGCAAATGGTGGGTATTTGTCGTTTCTAATGGCTGAGTAATATTCCATTGTATACATAAACCACATCATCTTTATCCATTCATCTTTCAATGGACACTGAGACTCCTTCCACAGTGTGGCTATGGTGGACATTGCTGCTAGAAACATTGGGGTGCAGGTGTCCTGCCTTTTCACTGCATCTATATCTTGGAGTAAATCCCCAGCAGTGCAATTGCTGGGTCATAGGACAGTTCTAGTTTTAACTTTTTCAGGAACCTCCACACAGTTTTCCAATGGCACAGTTTTCCACAGTTTCTCCAACTGGCTGCACCAGTTCACATTCCCACCAACAGTGCAAGAGGGTCCCCCTTTCTCCTCATCCTCTCCAACATTTGTTGTTTCCTGTCTTGTTAATTTTCACCATTCTCACTGGTGTGAGGTGGTATCTCATTGTGGTCTTGATTTGTATTTCCCTGATGGCAAGTGATGCGGAGCATGTTCTCATGTGGTTGTTGGCCATGTGTGTGTCTTCTTTGGTGAAATTTCTGTTCATGTCTTTTGGCCATTTCATGATTGGATTGTTTGTTTCTTTGCTGTTGAGTTTAATAAGTTCTTTATAGATCTTGGAAACTAGCCCTTTATCTGATAGGTCATTTGCAAATATCTTCTCCCATTCTGTAGGTTGTCTTGTAGTTTTGTTGACTCTCTCTTTTGCTGTGCAGAAGCTTTTTATCTTGATGAAGTCCCAATAGTTCATTTTTGCTTTTGTTTCCCTTGCCTTCATAGATGTATCTTGCAAGAAGTTACTGTGGCCAAGTTCAAAAAGGATGTTGCCTGTGTTCTCCTCTAGGATTTTGATGGATTCTTCTCCCACATTTAGATCTTTCCACCATTTTGAGTTTATCTTTGTGTCTGGTGTAAGAGAATGGTCTAGTTTCATTCTTCTGCATGTGGCTGTCCAATTTTCCCAGCACCATTTATTGAAGAGACTGTCCTTTTTCCGGTGGATAGTCTTTCCTGCTTTGTCGAATATTAGTTGACCAAAGAGTTGAAGGCCCATTTCTGGGTTCTCTATTCCGTTGCATTGATCTATGTGTCTGTTTTTGTGCCAGTACCACACTGTCTTGAAACCACAGCTTTGTAGTACAACCTGAAATCTGGCATTGTGATGCCCCCGGCTCTGGTTTTCTTTTTCAGTATTCCCCTGGCTATTCGGGGTCTTTTCTGATTCCACACAAATCTTATGATTATTCGTTCCAAGAATGCTTTTTTTTAAATCAGTGTTATGCATGTTAATAATTTAAAGTCAGTACCATAAGGCTTATACTAAAAAAAATCATTGTCCCTTCCCCCATCTCCCTTCTGTTCCCAGTTCCTTCTCCCTAACTACAGCCACTTTGAACTCTCCGCTGTTTCTTTGTGGAATTTGCTCTCATCTTCAGAATAATGGGTTTGCATAGTCCTGTCTCTCTTCAGTTTTAGATATTACATTCCAAAGTAAATCAACTGATAAATATGTAATTAGTTCTCTTAAACCCCTGTACATGCTCCACACCCTGCTAATACAGTTTCTAAATAATTTGTGGTTGGATCACTACTGATTGGTATAGCTGTGTAAAGATAATTCATATTTGAGACATACTGTGCAATATGATTATTGTACTTTCTGTTTTCCTGAAGATAATAAATATCTGGAGTTTCCATCCACTCCTTTACTATGGACATGTCACTTAGGCTCCCACTCTGTGAGGAGTAGAAAATATCTCCCCATACGTTCTGATGCACCAGATTATGCATCAGTGTCACCTTTTTCTTGAAGACGTCTAGTCAGCTCTCACCTTTCTAGTTCTCTGGCCTGCTGCACAGTCCCTGTTCTTCCTTTTCCTTGGTTTGCACCCCATTGCAGTAGATTACATCCTCTGTTAAACTGCCAAAGCATATAAGAAAGAAACCTGGAGATATTGCGTGTGAAAAATACCTTTAGTCTCCCCTCACGTTTGCCTAATAGTTAGCTGGAGAAAGCATTCTAGGTTGGAAATCATTTTTCTTCTGGATTTTGAAAGCATTGCTGTATTGTCTTTGGCACTCGGTGTTTCTGTAGAGAAGTCCAATTCTGACAATAATCTAAATCTCAATTCTTTGTCTATGGTGTTATTCCCACCCCCCTTTGGAAGCTTTTTCTCCACAGTGTTTCAAAATACCATGATTTTGGGGACTTAATGTGGCTCTTTATCACGCATCTTGTTAAGTTTGCAGTAGCCACTCTAAATCTGCAAGTCCATACTCTAGTTCTGGGAAATGTCCTTTAATCATTAAATATTTCTCTCTCTTTTTTCTCTTCCCTCTTATAAAACAGATGTGGAAACTCTATCCTGATTAAATTTGTATTTCTGTTATCAGAAATTACAATTTTCTACGACTCTTTTGTTTTCCAGTATTAATCTTTTAACTTATTCTTGTTTCATGACAACAGCATCTTCCATTACTTAATGTATTATTTAAAACTTGGACATTTTTTCTTTCCCTACATTGTTTCTGTTGCTCCAATTTTTTTCCCATATTTTCAATCATTAAAATCTATCCTCACATGTGTATAGTATAGTATAGTATAGCTTCATCAGAAGCAGTGTGCATGGTCAGAGAACTCTGATCAACTGGTAGATTTTACTGCAGACTAAGTAGTGGGGCCACTTTGTGCAGTAAAATCCCAACCAGCATTATCTTTGGACTGGTGGTTTTCACTAAAGTGGATCTCTCGATTTCCTGCCAGGGAAGTATGAGCCCGGCTGCCAGCATTTACAGAACCAACTTGAGCAAAGGAAAATCTCATAGAGATTTTCCGTGGGCCCTCCCTTGTAATGCCCCACCTGCACCACTTACAGACATCACTTGCAGAGAGGCTAGTGATGCCTAAGCCTTTGGGGGCACTCTGCAGTACCCATTCATCTGCTTCTAGGCTTCTCCCATTGTCACAATCTACTTTTCTTAGTTGCTGGTTGACCAACTACTTTCCAAGTTTCAGATTTTTTTTCCAATTTTTAAAAATTATTTTCATTTCTTCTTTGTTCTTATGTGTTTATTCCATCACTGTTGTTTTAATTTTAGGGGGGTTTCAGGAGGGAGCAGTAGGATATGTGTATGTCTGCTATGTTTAACAGAGTATCAACACACTCTTTGTTCTTAAGGAATGTATCTGTGAGGTCACAGCTATACCAGGAACTGAGTAACAAAAGAAAACAGTAGCTCTGCCTTCCCCACATCTGCAAAAACACACAAAGGTTGGGACGCCTGGGTGGCTCAGTGGTTTAGCACCTGCCTTCGGCTCAGGGCGTGATCCTGTAGTCCTGGGATCAAGTCCCACATTGGGCTCCCAGCATGGAGCTGCTTTTTCCTCTGCCTATGTCTGTATATCTCTCATGAATAAATAGATAAAATCTTAAAAAAAAAAAAAAAAACACTAAGGCATCTGATTTGGAAATTAACCCTTACGCTGTTTCTGTACAATAGCATAAGGCTCTATGCAGAAATACTTGGTATGTTACTTATGTTTGCTTTGGTAATAGATTGGTCTCTCATAATATGATGTGAACGATACATTTTTTTAAGTAAACATTTTCATGTCTGTCTTTTTTTTTTTTTTTTTTAATTTTTATTTATTTATGATAGTCACACAGTGAGAGAGAGAGAGAGGCAGAGACACAGGCAGAGGGAGAAGCAGGCTCCATGCACTGGGAGCCTGACGTGGGACTCGATCCCGGGTCTCCAGGATCGCGCCCTGGGCCAAAGGCAAGCGCCAAACCGCTGCGCCACCCAGGGATCCCCTCATGTCTGTCTTAAAATGTTAAAAGAGGATAGAGTAATAGTAGAAGTAGAAGGTGAATAGCCCTTTCAGTTTTTTGTTAATATAAAGTAAATTAATTAGTGCTTTTCCCCCCACTCCTTGTGTTGTTTTACATCTTTGATATGTCACTCTATATGCTGATATCCTTAGAATACTTAATAATCTTGTTTAGATTATTGAATATCATTAGAACTAATTCAGCCTTTTAGGTATTGTTTTGTTTTGTGTTAAAGGAGAGGGTTAAGGGTTAACTAGGCTTAATATTCAAATAATTTCCTCCTTTCTTGAGTGTCCCATGCTAGTTAACAGAACTTATATGCAATCTTTTTAATAACACAAAGAAAGCTTTTGTAGATGGTTTTATCATCTTAAGTAAATATTTTATTAGGATAAGAAAAAGAATTAAGTGCTTTAAAAAATAGTTTTCATAGTGAATTATATAAATACTTGGGATTTAAACTAGTCACAGAGTGCATAGTAGTAGTTTTGTGGCCAAGAAAACAAAGCTCCCAAATTCAAGTTTTCTGGGAGGAAAATCAAATAGAAATGGATTTTAAGTATTTTTTTGTTTGTGCTAATACTTTGAAACCAACCCCTGGAAGTCTGAAGTGTATTCCCTTTCAGTCTAGAAAGTGAGGGTTGGGGCTTGCTTAACAGGCACAAGATGAAAGCAAAACAGTAAAGGACTCCAGCGCTTTTGGTTTGAAGAGCATGAAGGAGGTTTAACAGGTAGTGGGGCTTCTCTCCCTGAGCTCACTGCCAGTGAGAGAAAGAAACTGGCTTCAGAGAATTTGTAAGTGGAATCCAGGAGAACTTCTAAGTCAGGATTCAGAAACTTTAGGGGAAGCAGATTTCACCTACCCAAGGGGTAACTGAGAAGGAGCTTTCAGAGCTTTCTACTGGGAGAAGGAAGGATGAACTGGGAATTCAGACTAGAAATTCTTTTAATGATTAAGTTAAAATGAGACAATATATCTGTTCCCATGTATATATTTGCTTATAACCAAAGAGCATTTCAGACTAATCTTAAGTGGCTTTTCACTTTCCACAGCTGGCAGTACTGTCTTGCCCAGAATGGCATGGGGAAAGGAAAAGGAAAAGACAAGGCCCTAAGCAACCGTGTATTTAAAAAAGAATCCTTGATCCTTTGATGGTAGAGAATGTAATCAAGTAACTCTAAAGTGACTGACATTTCTCCAAGAGCTGCTTAGAGTTCTGTTTTATCAGCTCTCTGAATCAGTTGAAAATGCTATCAATTCTATACCTTCAGCTAGTTAAGCCTGGGATTGAAAACCATCAATCTTGAAAATTTGCATGATTAAATCTTCTCTTACAGCCCAATTTTACCCCTGGGAGCTTCTGAGTTATGATAGGGACACCATATTTCTCATTTAAATGTAATGCAGTGACACACTAAATTATTTACCTTGAAGCTCCTGAACTACTTAACCTTTTATTTGACTTTCTAAGAATCTGACTTTCAGTTTTACTATATAAGCTATATATCTGCTTTATAAGTTTCTTTAAAACATGTCCAGGTAGAGATTTAATTATATTCTATTTCTCTAAGAATAAAAATCAATATATTTTCTGTTTCAGGGCTTTTGATGTAGAATTACTTTACATAGCACAATTCTTTAAAATTCCAATAGCAGAGATTGCTGTGAACTGGACTGAAATTGAAGGTGAGTATCTTTGTTCATGTGGCAGCTGATATTAAGTGGTGGTGGAGGTAGGTAACAATACAGTTGTAAAGTTAGCTGGCTGCCCCCATCAGGGCCTACTCAACTGACTTGACTGAGAAGGGGCAGTTCCATAGAGAGTTCTGCCTCCTAATCCCCTCCATCCTCTAGATGGCATCCTGCCTTCTCTATCCATGCAGTCTCTTCCTGGGGTCTTCAATAGGCCTCCTACCCGGCCCATGAAATTCAGTAAAACTTCTACAACGGACAGGATCATGGCAATCTGAGTCTAGAAACAAGCTTGATTAAGTCTTTTGAGATAAATTTTGTTTGTATCACCTTTCATTTATTGTCTTATTTCATTACTCAGTAGATATTGAGTACCTATAAGCCACCATGCAGAGCAAAATAAGGAATTATAGTTGTTTTTACTCCAAATGTCCATAGTCCGTTCAGAGCCAATCTTTAACTGGTACCTGTACATATATCCAAAAAATGTGAAAATCTCTAAGATCTCTAATAATGTGAAATCTATCATAATTCTTAATAATTCCTGTTTGAAAAAGCTTAGCTTATAATTTATAGAACTGAAAATATATTCTGGTTTTCCCCTTTGCTTACCTTAGAATGCATCAAAATTAATTCATAGTATGGAAGCAGTTAACAGTCAACTGGAGACTTTCAGAGTCACCCCTCCCCAGCTGAGCATGGCTTCCACTTAGAAAGTAGTTCTTATAGTATGCCATTATTGTTCTGGAACCATGGATGTTTAGGGACAGGAGAAGATTAAGAACTAGTCTGGGAATCATACAAACGATAGAGTCTAAGACAAATTCAAACCTCTTGGAATCTTGCTGAATCAGTTTAACTTAGAAAAATCTAACTACTCTCCACAGTAGCGGCCTAGGTCAAAGGGGATTCAGAAGCTGGTAAAGGATTGCTCAGACTTGTAAGGATCTGATGTGTCAATCTGCGCCTAGCATAGACTCTAGGGAAGTTGAAATGGGAAAAAGTAAAAATGTGTTTTGTATTTACATCATTTGCTCATGTGCATTTCAGAGACAGTTATGTATTACTTTTTGTTAATGGACACTCAATGTGTAGTTTTCTGTTAGTCATTCTAGAATCCTTGCCCATATATACTCAGTCCCTCCTCCCTATAATAGGACCATATGAAATTTCCACAATTTAGATCATTCCCAATTTCATTTAACTTCCAAGATGTTTTGTTTTTGTCATTAGTGAAACCACTCACTTCAGCTTTGAAGATGTTTAATTCTTTTGTAAATGACGCAAATAAAATTAAGATGGATGAGTTAATTAACTTGACTGAGGTAATCATTTTACAGTATATGTATATAAGTATATATATGTGGATATATATAAATCCTTTACATTCTGCACTTTACATTTATTTCAATTTTATTTGTCAATTCTACCTCAATAAAGTTGGGGAAGAAAAGAGAGAAGAGGAAGAAGCTAGCATATTTGGGTATAAATCTAGAAAATCGTTGGTATTTTGATCTTCGCCATGACACTTTACCATCCAGCACCCCAGTTACCCGACCTGCAGTCTACCCTTGACTTAATTAAAAAAAACAGTTCCACAGGATAAAATCAAGGAATACAAGCTTTTAAAACATGCTCCAGGAGGCAGATCTCCTGTAGTCAACTGGGCTTGGCACACTGCCATTTCGCAACCACTGGACAAGATGTCCTAGCTAAAATCGTTTTTCTTTTAGCTGATTGAGAGTCTTTAGTAGAATTAGAATAAAAATTGGGTTTTTGTCTTGGATTTCTTATCCCAGATTATTAATTTATATTATGTATGGAAATGTACCTACTTCTCTGCAGTACATGAAACTGAAAAGTAGCATGTGAAACATGAAAATTTGTCCTAAAAAGTCATTTTTAAATGTACAGATGGAATTAAATATATACATAAATATATGCATACATACATAATATAAAAAGTAAATTAAGGTAACCGGAAGGTCACAAAGGTCATGTAAGACTGAATATAAAATATAATTTTAATTGATATATTTTCTCCAGTGTTTAAGTTAATTCATTTTTAATTATTTTTTAATCACAGGTTCTAAATTAGTTCCATTTTGGAGCTGGCTACAAATGGGCAAGGATCTACTTTTTATACGACTTCGGTATTTGACTGGTGCCTGGAGGCTTGAACAAACCAGGAAGATGAATTAGGTTATTTGCCATCTTTGTATTCTTATGTATCAGTGTCTCACATTTCATTTGAAATTAAAATTTTAAATAAACCTAGAATAAACATTGTCTGCCTTTTGGTAATTTTAAATAATTAAATGCCATAACTAAAAATGCTTATACTTTGGACCAAAAAAATATAAGGTATTTGTAAGTCAGATTTTCTTTTGCTATAGCAGTTTTATGTATTTAGATTAACTATCATTGTGATTCTGAGAAATACAACTTTTAAACAGAAGAGAGAATCTTACTCTAAAGTACCTGCATAATTCTCCTGAACTTAAATATAAACCAAAATCATATATCTGTGCTCAGAGATTTAAAAATCAAATCAATATTAAGTCCATATTTCAACTTAAAAAATTCTAAGAGGGGATCCCTGGGTGGCGCAGCGGTTTGGCGCCTGCCTTTGGCCCAGGGCCCGATCCTGGAGACCCGGGATCGAATCCCACATCAGGCTCCTGGTGCATGGAGCCTGCTTCTCCCTCTGCCTGTGTCTCTGCCCCTCTCTCTCTCTCTCTCTCTCTCTCTCTCTCTCTCTGTGACTATCATAAATAAATAAAATTTAAAAAAAAAATTAAATAAAAAAAAATAAAAAAATAAAAATAAAAAATTCTAAGAAATTATATATTAAAGGACATAGGTTCTGTCACAAAGGCCTTCACTTGCTTAAATGGTCTCTCTCTTGGCAACACCTTGCTCTTGAGTTCATGTTATTAGAAACTAAAAATCCTTTATTAAAAAGAAAGTTTTGGGGGCACCTGACTGGCTCAATCTGTAAAGCATGTGACTCTTGATCTCAGGGCTGTGAGTTTGAGCCTCCTACTAGGTATAGAGATTACTTTTAAAAAAGAGAAAGTTCTTGTAATATTAATAATTGTATACACTTAACATCAGAAGCCTGTTTCTGAGATACTATAAAGACTAATATGGGGGATCCCTGGGTGGCGCAGCGGTTTGGCGCCTGCCTTTGGCCCAGGGCGCGATCCTGGAGACCCGGGATCGAATCCCACATCAGGCTCCCGGTGCATGGAGCCTGCTTCTCCCTCTGCCTGTGTCTCTGCCTCTCTCTCTCTCTCTCTCTCTCTCTCTCTCTCTGTGACTATCATAAATAAAAAAAAAATTTAAAAAAAAGACTAATATGGGGCACCTGGGTGGCTCAGTTGGTTGTGTCTGCCCTTTGGCTCAGATCATGATCCCAGGGTCTTCAGATCGAGCCCCACATCAGGCTTTGTGTTTGGTGGGGAGCCTGCTTCTCCTCCCTCTGTTGCTTCCCCTGCTTGTGCTTGCTCTCTCCCTGTTGAATGGATGGATAACATATTAAAAAAAAAAAAAGACTAATAAAATAGCAATTATAAAATAATTTACCCCTAAAATTCAGAATTAGATTTCCTGATGTTTTAGAGAAACTAATAATAATACCTAACATTTATTCATTGCTTACTGTGTGCCTGCCACTGTTCTATGCACTTAGTATATAATAATTCATTACAATGGAAGAGGAAACTGAGGCATAAAGTGGTTACTTAACCCAAGGTCACACAGCTAGGAAACAGTACGAGTCATGATTCTAGTCCATGTAGTCTGTCTGGATCCAAAGCCTACGCTCTAAGGACTATGCTACTTGAGATTCTGAAGCTATGAAAATTGGAGATATCAAAAAGTTTCAGAAGTACCTTAAATAAAACATTTTAAAGACAAAACTCAAGTGAAAAATAAGCTGAAAAGTGATTCCTCCCTGGTTTCAACAACAGTAATATGATCATATCTGCAATAGACAATAAGAACCTTGAATACAGGGATCCCTGGGTGGCGCAGCGGTTTAGCGCCTGCCTTTGGCCCAGGGCGCGATCCTGGAGACCCGGGATCGAATCCCACATCGGGCTCCCGGTGCATGGAGCCTGCTTCTCCCTCTGCCTGTGTCTCTGCCTCTCTCTCTCTCTCTGTGACTATCATACATAAATAAATAAAAATTAAAAAAAAAAGAACCTTGAATACAGAAACCATTTCTTACTCAAATTAGAATCCCTAGCATAGTGCTTAGCCTATAGTAGATACTGACTGGTGATTAACTGAATAAACAAACTTAATTTACTACCAGATTTTTTTTTTTTTAAGATTTTATTTATTTACTCACGAGAGACACAGAGAGAGAAAGAGGCAGAGACATAGGCAGAGGGAGAACCAGGCTCCATGCAGGGAGCCCGATGTGGGACTCGATCCTGGGTCTCCAGGATCACGCCCTGGGCTAAAGGCAGCAGTAAACCGCTGAGCCACCCAGGCTGCCCTACCACCAGATTTTAAGAGCATTTAAAGTCACTTAAATGAAGAGAACAAAGCAAGGCTTATGCAAGTAGAAATGATAGAAAGCCAAGAGTAGAAGAATGATCATGAACATTTACAAGAGTTTAAAGTACAAACCCAAGCCAAAAATAAGATCCTTAATGAAACTATACTAAAAATAAAAATAATTTACAGGCATACTTCATTTTATTGCACTTCACATAGTTTTTACAAATGAAAGGTTTGGTCACCCTGTGTCGAGCAAGGTTCAGTGCCATTTTTTCAACAGCATTTGCTCAATCCATGTCTCCATCACATTTTGGTAATTCTCACAATACCTCAAAATTTGTCATTATTTATTATGGTGATCAGTGATCATAACTCAATGAAAGCTCAGATGATGGTCAGCATTTCTTAGCAATGAAGCAATCTTTTTTTTAATAATAAATTTTTTTATTGGTGTTCAATTTGCCAACATACAGAATAACACCCAGTGTGAAGCAATCTTTAATTAAGGTGTGTATAATTTTTTTAGATTCAATGCTATTGCACACTTAACAGACTACAGAGTAGTGTAAACACAACTATTATATACACTGGGAAACCAAAAAATCAACGGACTTTATTGTAATTTTGGCTTTATTGCAGTGGTTTGGAATCAAACCCATGATATATCCGACATATGCCTGTTGGCATATGCCTGCTAGCTTGCTCTTTGCAAGCTAGCATAAAAATGCATATTTGAAGCATATAGGAATTTTGAGGGGGAAGTATCAATACTTTTATGTAGTTCATCCATGAATACTATTAAGATAGGGTTCTGGTATCCTTGATGCAAATTCACCTTTCTAAACTCATTTCACCTAGGTTAACAGCATAGTGTAGAATCTGAAGCACTCTGTGAGAAAAAAAATGTAGTTTGACTTGTTGACATTACATAACCTGCTAACAATATAACAAGCAGCCATAGCAAAAGTGAAAATATCGGCTACTATTATTTTACCTATGTATAAGAAAGTTTGATAAGAATTTTACATGCATTAGTTTAGTCTGATCAAACAAATCTATCCTATAGGAATAATTACCCACACTTCAGAAATGAATAATTAGGCTTAGGCAAGTAATTTGCCCAAGGTCCCACAAGTAGCCAATAGTTGTACTTCTAAATAAAAGAAAGTATAAAGGATAGTGGGACATGATTAAAACTGAGAGGACCTTCTGGCTTATTCTTACAGAATATTTTAATACAGAGTTTGTTTGACTTCAGATTCCATCTGGATGATAATGTGTTGACATCTGTAATTCCATTCTCTCCATAGTTATGTATTTCTGCCGTTCATGGTTGATTTTCCAGTTCTATTTTCCATTTTCTTTATTGTTATAATTTCCTTCACAGCAGACACCTTGCCTTTTATTTGTGTCTACACACATTCTAAATTGTGATTATTCAATAAAGTTTCCCAAAGTAAACAGATGATGCCACCATTTCGATTCATTTGTCAAAAAAAAAAATTATATGAGTGAGTTTATCCACTTTATTGACAGCTAAGGCCCCTGAAATAGTCTGGTAGGCTGCTTTGTTTTTTTGTGCAATCTCAAAATCCATCAAATCTACAAATTAATTATTTCATTATGTTAATCCAATAAAGGACTCTATGAAGTGATACAATTATAATTCACTGATTTTTATTTTTTTAAAGATCTTATTTATTCATGAGAGAGAGAGAGGGAGAGAGGCAGAGACACCAGCAGAGGGAGAAGCAGGCTCCATGCAGGGAGCCTAACATGGGACTCAATTGTGGGACTTGATCCCGGGACTCCAGAAGGCAGGCGCCAAACCGCTGAGCCACCCAGGGATCCCCTAATTCACTGATTTTAAGTAAAACTCCAGGTAGTTTTGATGGTCACAAAAAAGCAGATTTGAACCCATCCAGGTGTTCTTTCTGTGCACAATACGAACAGATAGATATATAAATACACAGATTAAAAAAAAAAAAACTCATCCCAGGATCACTTGATACAGTGACAGAGTGCACTACATGTGCAAGCAAAACAGATCCTATCCTTGCCTTCTGAGAACTTTGCGTTTTAAGGGCACGATGCCTGCCAATCTCACCTGTAGAACCACATGCCTGGAGGCGCTCAGCCTGTCTTCTATTTATAAACCCAAGCCTGCTCATAAGTCAGTTGTTTGGAACTCATAAGTTGTTTCCCATGAAAACAATATTAGGAAAGTATGGTTAAGTCCTTACAGCAGTCTGAAACATGTATAATAAGTCTATAATATACCTGAACTACTCTGTAGTTCTGCAGTAATACCTGACCGTGTTTTGCAATGCTATTTCTGTGGAGAAATTGTTTTCCATTTTCCAAGTGGGAATGCCAGAAACTGTCTCTTCCCACAGCCTCTAGGAATCCCAATGAAAAGTCAGGCACATCAGCAGTGGGTTTAAACCTCACTGAAGCTTCTGCAGACACTGTGGGCAACTTCCCCCACCTAGGGGGGGTCGGGGTAGAGCAAGGGCTTCCATGGTAATCAGCAGAAACCTGCCTCCAGGTTTCTTCTATCAAAAGGTAGTCCTATAGAAAAGACTACATTAGTCCTACAGAAAGGACTGAGGGCAGAGAAAGGACCAAGAGTGACAGCGGTGATCTTTATCTGAGAAGTATCACAATGCACCTCAGAAATACTCCTGGAAAGTGAAGTTATGTATACTACCTCTCTGACCCACAAATGTTTACATTAACAAGAAAATGGGCATGCATATGCATATGTGTGTGTAATA